CTCTCTCTCTCTCTCTCTCTCTCTCTCTCTCTCTCTGTCTCTCTCTCTCTTTCTCTCATGTTGAACTGGAAGTTGTGGTTGTACTATAAATTCTTTTTTTTGTACTATAAATTCTAAAATATCTGTCACTCTGAATTAGTTGATACCTACCTCATATGATTACTCTGGAGATTTGCTGTTCATGGATCTATGTACAACATCCAAGGATATGACAACAGGAAGTACTCCAGTATGATTTTCCTGAGATTTTTAGACTGGTCCCCTTTCCTGGAAGCCCATACTTTCACCTCGGGTGGGATGAGAAGTGTTTGGGGGCTGAAATGAATCCTAATGTTGATCATAGGGGGAAATTCTAAACTTGACAAAAACAAGCAAGCACAAGTAAAACAGATGGCATGGGTGCTAAGTGCAGAGCCATGGCCATGAAGGAGCTATGCCCACTGCTCTGGGGAGCCCACGGGGATGCCTGGAAAGAGGAAATGTACCCTGAGGCAACAATAGCACCCAATTACCTTTCACATTTTGTTTAAATATATGTCATATTCTTAGTTATAAATAACTTTTTTGCCTTTTTTTCTGCTTTGTCTTGTCCAGGAAATTATAAATATTTGGCCTTACTCAAAATGTGCAAAGAAGAATAATGGAAGCACCTGAATACCTTGATTTGGATGAAATCGACTTTAGTGATGATATATCTGTAAGTATTACTACTTGTAAGCAATGTTTTCAGTATTGCCTTTAACTTCATGGGCTACTTTCTCTACTACAGTCTTTATATCCATTCTTCCAATTATATTCAGGAATTGAAAACAAATTCCACATGGATCACAAAGTGTGCTTTGGGGTTCTCAGAACCAAAAAGTGAATCCTACCTACTTGTGTGAGACATTGGGAGGATAAGGAATTTAACCTCAGTGAGCCTCCAACTTTTAATCTGTTCCAGTGCTGTCAGAATTACTCATGAGTACATCTAGAAACTGTCTGTATATGCACATAATTAACCCTATGAATGTTAATTCCCAATTTCCTTATTTGGCTGGCTATTTGACAGCCAGAATTCTCTAGGGTTCACAAGGACATAGAGTCCAAGTTGAAATTTATTAATTGATGAAAACAAAGGGAGTTTTTCCAGTCAATAAGTATGAGAACATAGAGTGGACATTTGTTGGGAATCTGCAGAAGAGTAATGTCCTAGTCCAGCTGACTTCATGATGTACTGGTTAATTCTGTGATACCATGGGCTGCTGAGTCTCTAAGTTCCCCTAACAGTCACAGACTCTGCTGCTTCCAGGTTCCCTTGGGGCTGTTCTGAGTGGATTGTCTTCAGGCACCTTGCTTTATACTAGACCACATGGTCAGTGCTGCCTCACCTGCAAACATGTTGGCATCTGTCAGCAACTGTGGGCGCTCAGAATACGTGATGAGAAGCTTGCTGTTTCTGAAGTAGCTATATCATGCTTCTTTCTGGGAACTCACAATTTCTGACTTTATCTCCCGTTAATTTGTCTGAGTCTAGAGCTTTGGGTCACCACCAGAATAGTTCTAAAATGATGAGTTTACTTTAACATGCCTCTGACAACAGTTTTGTCCTCTGCTCTACTCTTTACCTTGAAGTAAAATATCTGTACTATACAAAAGAATTAGATTACTGGGATAATTTCTGCAAATCACCTGTTTGATGCAATCTTGGATAACTTTTGTTTTGAACCAGAGAAATGTGAATTCAACCTTTGCCTATTTCCAGACATTTCTTTCAGTTTTAAAAAATAAATTTTATTTTGTATATGTGATATTATAAAATGTTGGCATAGTAAAATTATTAGCTTAATGAAGCAAATTAACATACCCATCACCTCACATAGTTATCCTTTTAAAAAGAAATTGTGGCAAGAGCAGCAAAAATTTACTTATTTGACGGGGAATCTCAAACACTGGACAATTTTTTTAGCTATAATCCTATGTTGTACTTTAGCCCTCTAGACTTGTTCATTTTATATATCTGTTACCTTGTATCTTCTGACCTACGTCTCCTTTTTATTTATTTTTTTTAGTGTTTTCATTTTATTCATGTGTGGCAATTTTTATTAGTCCTCATTCAGAGTAATGTGAAGTGAGCTTCCTCCTTACCATAGTATCTTTCTCTCTCAATCACTGTGCCTGACTTCAGAATGTTCAGAGTGTGGTTCATTTACAAGGTATTTTGATTTGAGCAGGGGAAAGCAAAGAGACAGAAGGAAGGTGGGGGTGCAGAAGGTGTAGTAGGAAAGAATATTTGTGTTATGATTAGGAGCTGGGTGGTAGCTCTCCATGGTTTAATAGTAGGGTTGTCTTTTGAAAGCACCAGCTTTGAAGGCAGCCAGCCTCAGTTCCTACCTTCCCCTGCCCTTTGCTGTCTGGATAATTTGGTGGGATACACTGACTGCATCTCTCTGAGATACTCACGCAACTTGTAAGATGATATTTAGGATTGGGTGAAGTAATAATATATGTGAAACACTGCTTAGCGCACAGTGAGTTACTCTTAAAAATGGCAGCTTTTGTTGTTATTTCAATGAATAATACAATAATATTTATATGACCAATGGTGAAGAAAGAACTCAAGGGAAAAGACCAGGCATGATGTCAAGATATTTCTTTAACTACAAGGGAGCAGTTGTATTTACAGAAGAATCATCTGGCAGTAGCCCATAATTTTGATGAATTAGGAAGCTCTACTTGAAAGATAAAATATATTAAGCAATAACTGAAGCTGTTTAACAAGTTAGACTACAGGATTATGCAATAGTTGAGCTTCTATAACTTGACTACTCTGAAACATAAAGATGTCCATCTGTAATAGTGTAACTATACCAAAACTTCTCCCCTTTAAATATGTTCTGTTGTTTCATCTTTAAACTGCACTTAAAGTGAAATCTGATTTGAAAGTGCATAGAATTGATTAAACAATAATAAGGGCAGATATTTGCTGAGCGCTTACTACAGGACAGGCATTATCTTGTTTAATCCTCACAACAATCTTGTGCTGATAGTACTATTACCTTCTCCAACGTCCCGCCACGGGAGCATTTGGCAGTACCTGGAGACATTTTTCGTTGTCGTACCGAGAGGTGCTACTGGCAATCAGTGGGTACAGGCCAGGAATGCTTCTAAACATCTTGCAACATACAAGTCAATCTCCTGCAACAAAGAATCATCTAGCCCCAAAATTGATAGTACCAAGGATGAGAATCCTGGTCTATTTAATCTCCTTGAAACTGAGGAAGGTCTGCTTTCACTTCAAACTCTAAGCATAATAGAGTTTTATCATCGTGCAGTATTATCCAAATTCAATACTTTAAATATGTCAGAATTATACTACTGTTATTTAAAGACTTCATGAAGAAAAAAAGTAGAGATTGCCTCTTGAATATTGAAATGATTGCCCTCTGCTTATTTAAGTAAAATAGGAGGGTCAAATATTATAGCTGCTTTATAGGCTAAATGGAGATTATTTAAATGCTAAAATTGGAAAATGAACATGTTTTCACTGTGTTAATTCACTGGCATAAAAAGAAATTTGGTTTATTTCCCATGAAGATGGTTTTATTTTTAGGGTTCTGTAAACCTCCATCTCTGACAGCCCTCTGACTCTTTCCTGGTTAAGTGGCGGAGAGGGAAGGAAGGTGCATGTTACATTTGGAAAAGATGTTTACAAAACTCATGCCAAAATCTAAAACTCTTCTTACTCGCCAGCTGTAGCCCTATTATGTAGGATAGGCTTTGTATTTCATGAGTTGTCCCTGTAGTCATGAGCCTAGTTCTTGTTTTAATTAAAACACAAGCTGTATATTGGTATAAAAAAGAGAACTTTTTTGCCTTTACTCAATGAGACAAAACACAGAAGGCAACCAAATTATTTTGAAGTTTCCCAGGCTCAAAAATAATGTGCATCCTTTGCAAAATGCAGAGTATAAACTATACATTCTTATAACCCTGCCATCTGAAAAGGCAAAACCTTGTGCAGTAACTGCAGGTCTGTGAAAGAGATGATGACACACATAAACACAAAGGTTCAAAACAGGGCTTTTCTGTCACTTCAACTGGGTTTACAGATTTTTTTTTCTTTAGTCCTATGGGAGCCAGATCCCTCTATTGTTAAAACAGAAACCTCTGGAATTCCTTGGAGCCATAGTGTATTTGTTTATTAAGAAAGTACAAGTTGCTGTTCTCAAAAATTGTATCACACATAAGACTGAGGAAAGCAGAGGCTGGACTATGACTCTATTGAAGAGCTTCACTCATAGGCACCACCTGTCAGAGTTAGCTGAGGCACACACTGAACTGAATCCTTTATCAGTTGTCTTGATCAAGCCTCACATCAACTCTGGGAGTCAGACTTTTTCTTCTGTTTCTCCGATGGGAAATCTGAGGAGTGTATGACTCCCACAAAGTTATTGATAAGTGGCAGGGTCTGGACTTAAATACCAAACTGGTTTTTTTTCTTTAATTTTTTTTTTAAATCAAACTGTTTGACCACATTATTCTTCCCTCCTGAGCAACTTAGTTGAGTAGAAATATCTCTGGGCCAGTTGCTTCACCCATCTCTCTCCCCATTTGGCACAGAAGTGATTGCACATTGCTTCCTGGCAGTAAGAGAGTTGGTATACATTATAAATAAATAAAGTAAAGACAGCTAAAGGGAACTTAAGCAAATCTCTTAATTTTACTCTACCTCAGACTTCTTTTCTGCAAGTTGATAATCTACTTATTGTTTTGGGTTTTTATAAGGAAAACCTAAAAATGTATGCTTATGTGTTATATACACATACATGTGAATATACACATGCATACAGATATAAACATGGTACACATACAATGCATGTAAATATCTTCACACAAATAGAAATGGGTAAAGCACTCTACTCCTCTGTGTAAGAATCATATTGCCTTTCTGAAGCAGCCTGACTTACAGTTTTGGTGAAAGTTGACATTTTTTGGCAATCACATAACTTAATTTTTGTGCAGGCCAAACATGATCAAGACACATAAGTGTCTTTCATTTTACTATCCCCTTTAGTCCAAGTCTTTGCAACCTAGAGTAAAAACATAAAATTATTGGCTGGGGATTTAGCTCAATAGATCTGCTGCTTGCCTCAAAAGCACAAGGTCCCGAGTTTGATCCCCAGTACCAAAAAAAAAAAAACCCATAAAATTATATGGGTTCATTTTCCTGAGGTGCTTGAACTACCCATACTATCTGGTAGAGTAATAAATGCTTATGGCATACTACACTCACTTTTAATGAGTTTTCAGGCCCTCGCATAAAAAAATATTCCTTGCAGAATAGAATAGCCTTTATTTTCATCAAAATACCTACCTGTGGGCCAGGGATTTAGCTCAGTGGTTCAGCCACCTGCCTCTCAAGTGCAAGGTCCCGAGTTTGATCCCCGGTAGCCCCCCCCCCCCAAAAGAATCCCTACCTTTCCTTCTGTTTTGTGTGGACCACCTTTTACTCAGTTCAATCTACTAACACATCCCTGGATTTTATTACATTTCAACAAAGACCTGAAGAAAGGGATGGAGAGTCCACCAAATGGGTACTGGCAATGAATTGGGTGTGTAAAGAATAGAGCTTTGCCCCGCATTTAGGTATAGAACAGAATATGAAGACATTCAGAGTACTGAGAACCTGGCTTGTTCTTCCACTCCAGCAAGAAA